CACTACCGTGCCCAGCTAATTTGTTGTATTTTTAGTAGAGACGGGGTTTCACCATGTTGACCAGGATGGTCTTGATCTCTCGAACTTATGATCCACCAGTCTCGGCCTCCCAAAGTGCTGGGATTACAGGCTTGAGCCATCGCGCCCGGCCCCCTCCCCATCTTTGTTCCCTTGCTCCTTCCTCCTTTTTGCCAAAGGAGAAGACAGTAAGCTAAGGGCTGCTCAGAGACGCAGGCACGAGGAGGAACGGTCACAGCCCGTGTGACTGGCACCTTCTCACGCGGAGGCCTGTGATCCCCAGACACCTGGCGCTAGGAAAATCCCACTCCACAGCCAGAAGCAGGATCGGGGCGCCCAGTGGATTTCTCAAAGGCTTGGCTGCTCTCCTGGCCTGATGCTAACAGAACAATGTCTCAGCTCACAGGTTCCTAAACGCACACCCACCCGCAACGGATCTGCTGAGGACGGACGGCCATGGGGAGGGCCACCTCACTCCAGGGAGCTTGGCACTGTCCCCCATGAGGCCAGGTGTCCTAAGCCACCTGCAGCCAGAGTCCCATGAGACCAATGGGCGTGCCGCCTGGGTTTGTCCCAGCAGGCAGGGTCCTGTCCTTCGCCCAACTGGGACAGAGGAACAGGAGGGGCTCCTTCTGCTTTCAGTGCATGGAGGGGCTGTCTGCGGGCCACTCCCAGACACCTATGCACTTGGGGAAGTGACTGAGTGGGCCCACTGGCCCTTCTTCTGAGAGCCTCTCCCTGGAGGCGAAGACCCCTGAGGTGAACAGTGTCTTCTGAAGCTCTCGCCTGGGCTCGAACTCTGAGCAGATGCTACCGTACGAGCAATGCAGAGCAAGCTGGGGCCCAGAGAGGTCAGCTAACCTGCTCAAACCAAGTCCAGGCCCAGCCGGAGTCTCAGCACCAGGCTGTGTGCCTTCTGATAAAACCTACGTCCCCGGAATTTCCAGTACACGCTACCAAGTTTTCAGTAAGCAATAAGTAACACACACAACCCTATTCTCATGCCAGGTTCCACAGGGCCGCCCAGAGAGTGATAAACGGAGCTGGCTCCTCTCGCCTTTACGATGAGTGAGAAACACACCAACACGAAGACACGCGTGAAAGGACCTCGTCTCCTAATGAGACCGACAAGCAAGGGCTTTTTTTCACTTTCACCACCAGTGGGATGGTTGTGAGCAGCGAGGCCAAACCATTTCACAACACGATTATTTAACAAAAAGAAACTTTCTGTGGGACGTGCCTGGGGGACTAAAAAGACAGCCAGCAAAAAATGAGACCCTTGTTCTCCAATCCGGGCTCTCTCCTGAGGCAGCCTCAGAGGCCCGTGGGCTGAGGATATAGGCACGAACGCCTACTGTCTGTAGCATCGGGCTCAAGAAATAACAGGGTACAAGGTGCCCTTTCCCGTCCAAAGGAGAAATTCTCAAACCCAACCTTATGTGTGACCATTAAAACACTTTCTATGGGTTTTCACTGCTCCAGGAGCCATGTCCAGAGGCCAAACGCCCAGCCTCTCCTTCACACCCCAGAAAGCCCATCCTGCCCACTGGCCCGGGCTTGGGGCCACCCCCCCTCCACCTGAGAGGCTGCCACATGTACATGCTGTACGACTTCTCAGAAGCCCCCCTACAAGGGCAGGGTCTCCCTTTCTGGGATATCTGCTGCCTTCCTGTGAGCTGAAGTCAGAGCGACCTGAGAATCGGCTTGGAGTTGTACCAGCCTCAGACAAGCACACCCGCTTCTCAGCAGAATCTGCATGTTCAGAGAACACAGTTACTCCTCCTCCCCTTACACACAGAGGAAGAAGGGATTCCCCCTCGCAGAGAGCACATCCCTTTGTTACTGAAAATCTCTTTCCAAAAAAAAGCAACACACACCACACAGGAGGGTCAGAGAAAACAAGTACAAATGGCTTAGGGACATGAGAAGTGTGGCCTTCACTTTCCCTGAAAGGGATGCTATTAACCAAACCCTCGCCTCTGGGTCAGAGCAGTCTGGCAAGGACAGAGCCTCCCTCAAGGCTGTCCCTACCCACTGGAACCAAGAGGACTGCTGGAAAGCTATTTAAAATACTTTTCCGTATTCCAAGAATGTTACGAAGAAAAAAAAAAATACTTTTTAGGCTGGGCATGGTGGCTCACGCCTGCAGTCCCAGCACTTTGGAAGGCAAAGGTGGGCGGATCACCTGAGGTCAGGAGTTTGAGACCAGCCTGGCCAACATGGCAAAACCCAATCTCTACTAAAAATACAAAAAATTAGCTGGGCGTGGTGGTGCGTGCCTGTAATCCCAGCTACTCCAGAGGCTGAGGCAGGAGAATCACTTGAACCCTCGAGGTGGAGGTTGTAGTGAGCCAGGATCCTGCTACTCCAGCCAGGGCAACAAGAGTGAAACTTGGTCTCAAAATAAAATAAAAAAATAAATAAACAAATACTTTTTAAAGCCCTATTACCAGAAAATAAATCCAGGAATGTGTGACTTAGTTAGTACAGCCTCTTTGGAAGGCACATTAGCTATCAAGCTAGAATCCACACACCCAACCGGGCGAAATGGCTCATGCCTATACTCCTAGCACTTTGGGAGGCTGACGCTGGCAGATTACCTGAGGTCGGGAGTTTGAGACCAGCCTGGCCAACATGGTGAAACCCCATCTGTACTAAAAATACAAAAATTAGCCAGGCATGGTGGCACATACCTGTAGTCCCAGCTACTCAGGAGCATGAAGCAGGAATTGCTTGAGCCAGGAGGCAGAGGCTGCAGCAAGTCAAGATGGTGCCACCACACTCCAGCCTGGGCAACAGAGTGATTCTGTCTCAAAAAAAAAAAAAAAAAAATCCACACACCCCTTTACCATTTGCACGAAGCTGGGAAGCCCTACGCAGGGGCTTACAGGGGCTGTGGTGAGCACACTGGGTCTTCCTAGCAGCTAGAAAGCCGAAGGGCAGCCTCTGTGCACTGCCTGGGGAAAATGACAAGATTGCCTTTTTTTTTTTTTTTTTTTTTTTTTGAGACAGCGTTTCGCTCTTGTTACCCAGGCTGGAGTACAATGGCGCGATCTCGGCTCACCGCAACCTCCGCCTCCTGGGTTCAGGCAATTCTCCTGCCTCAGCCTCCTGAGTAGCTGGGATTACAGGCACACACCACCGTGCCCAGCTCATTTTTTGTATTTTTAGTAGAGACGGGGTTTCACCTTGTTGACCAGGATGGTCTCGATCTCTTGACCTCGTGATCCACCCGCCTCGGCCTCCCAAAGTGCTGGGATTACAAGCGTGAGCCACCGCACCCACTTTCTTTTTTTGAGATGGAGTCTCACTCTGTCACCCAGGCTGAAGTGCATCTCAGCTCACCGCAACCTCTGCCTCCTGGGTTTAAAGCAATTCTCCTGCTACAGTCTCCTGAGTAGCTGGGATTATAGGCATGTGCCACTACTCCCGGCTAATTTTTGCATTTTTAGTAGAGATGGGGTTTCACCTGGTTGGTCAGGCTGGTCTTGAACGCCTGACCTCAGTTGATCCACCTGTCTTGGCCTCCCAAAGTGATGAGATTACAGGCCTGAGCCATGGCACCAGGCCAGCGGGGAATTCATTTTAAAGGTTAGAGTGCAGGCTATGTAAGCTATTAACCATGTCATCACCTACCGAGCCACCATGTACCTAGGCAGGAGGGAGACTCAACCAGTGAAACTCTCCTAATGACAAGACAAGAATCCGAGTCACCCTGACATCCACATCTCCAACACCCAGCAGGAGCCACAACCTCTCCCACTCGGGTCCACGTGTTGGTGTGGCTGCTCAGCTCAAGAGCCTCAGGGAAGCTTCCGACCCCAGGCAGCCAGAGCCCTGCCAGAGTCTCGCATTTACGGAGAAATGCCTCCCCCTTCCCCTCCCCGCCAAAGTAGAGCGAGGCATAGAAAGACTCCAAAACCCCAACAGCGCCAGCAGGTCCTGCCAGTCAGAAGCCACTCCAAGTAATTACACAGTCCCCTGATCTCAAGGCTATGACCCCAAACTATAAATTTAGCCCTTTCCAGCCTGAATGTGTGCACACTACTGAGATCCAGGCCGACCCTTATATTAGCTGGCAGCTCTCAACGCAAATAAATCTAAGTTTGGGATGGCCCAAGTTCCAACATAAACTTCGAAAGCAGGGCGCTTCCAAAGCCATGGGATGAGCCTGAGAATCACCAAGACCCGCCCCCCACCTCCCGCAGGCAAATCATGTGGCATTTGGCACAAGAGATTTCCCCCCTGAAATCCCAGAAGAAAACTGTTTTGAAAAAAGCCATTCTCCCTGGCCTGGCGAAGAACATACCAGCACTGAGCCCACCACGCCAGGACCACGCCCCATGGCTGTTTGCCAGCGTAACCCGCGACCCGCACGTCCATCCACTCCAACACGGACTGAATATGCAGCCAAGCTCCCCTCTCTCACTACCGGGCAACCCTCATAGGGGCTCCCTTAGCCTACAGCAGCACGTCACTACTCTCATACGATTTTATTACTACAGTTTCCTTTTGCGTCAGCCCACGTCACTGATTCCTGACAAGCCGGTTTGGAGACAGAAATGATTTTTTTAACTGCAATTCCCTCTCACCAACCAGCCAGCTACCGGAGCTCTAACAGTAAACGGGCCGCTCAGCTCCACGTGGGTGCCACGCAGGAGGCTGGGAGTACTGCTCAGCGGGGCCGACAGGAGGCTGGCACTTGGTTAAACCGCTTACGTGGGGGAATGGAATGCCCATCGAAGCGCAGGGACCCTACTGCCGCCTCACTGGAGATATTCCTAGACTGTGGGGAGACTCCTAGACTGTGGGAAGTGTAAAAGAATGAATGAAAGAAACGCACGTGGTTTCTGCGACCAATGACCTTAGGCTAGAACTGCTGAGACGGTCCAGGGATGCAGAAAGGTAGAGATGTGGGATCCAGGGGCGCAGAGACCCAGAGACTCCGACCCCGCAACCCCCGGCCCGCGCCCCGTACTCACGCACGCAGAGGCAGGCCACAAGCTTGGCAGCCTCCTCGGGCACCGGGCAGGTGGGGAAGAGCGGCTTGAGCAGGTAGGTGGCGAAGACGAGGGCCACGATGTACTGCGAGGAGGGCCGGATGATGAGCAGCTCGATCCAGAGCTTGAGGAAGGCGGGCAGCGAGCCGTAGACCTCCAGCATGTAGGCGTAGTCGCCGCCCGACTTGGAGATGGTGGTGCCCAGCTCGGCGTAGCACAGCGCGCCCACGATGGAGAAGACGCCGCACGCGGCCCACACCACCAGCGCCAGCCCCGGCGAGCCCGCCTCCTTGAGCACGCCCGTGGGCGTCACGAAGATGCCCGAGCCGATGATGGTGCCCACGATGATGGCCACGCCGTTGAGCAGCGTGATGCTCCGCTGCAGGGTCACACCCTCGCCCTCCCCCGCGCCCGCCGGGGCCGCGCCGTCCGCAGGCTGGGTCGCCAGCATCTTCTCCCGCGCCTCCTCCTTCTCCTCGGCCGCCGGGGCCGCCACTGCGCGCCGCTTCGGACCCGCGCCCGCCATGCTCTCCGCGCCGGCCGGGCCTGGGACACTAGAGCGCCACCGCGCTGAGGGGAGTGTGCGCGCCGCCCGCCGCCAGCCGCTGCGTCAGCGCCCGCGCCCGCGCCGCCTTTTATACCCGTGCCCGCCGGCCCCGCCCACCGCCCACGGCCCCGCCCCGCCGCCGCAACCCGCCCGACAGGCCCCGCCCCTTCCCCGCCCTTATCCCCGCCCCCTCGGCTCAGCTCGCAGCACGTGCGTCTTCTGGCCGCCTGGCGGGCGATTCCCGGGCCCGCGTGGTCCCCGGAGGTCCTAGTTCTCCGGCGCGTGGAGACCCCGGCCTCGCAACCTCCTTCGCGGCGTCCGCGGTGCGCCTGGGCGGGGTCTGGCGGTCAGGGCGCGCCCCTTCACCTGCTAGCCCGCAGCCTCGCGTCCGACGTGGGAGCGGGCGGTGCACCAGGGCTGGCCTGAGGCCAAGGATGGGGTTTGGGGTGGCAGCCCACCCCCTAAAGGGAACCTAGGCCCCTGTCCCGCTTGGGCTGAGGGCATGGAACCGACCCCACAGCCAGATACTGGGGCATCTGGGAGGGATGACAGGGGAAGCTCCCGCAACCCCCTTTCAGCCCGGGGGAATGCATCACTGGGCCGTGAGCCTTGCTGCGAGATGGGCTAAGGGAAGAACCGAACCGACCCCACCCATTGTAATTCCCTTTGTGTCCCCAAGGAATCTTGCCAAAGACCAAAGACGGGGATACCTGGCCCACAACTTGGAGAAACAGTAACAACACAGGCTTTGGGAAGCCATCAATCTGCCTGAGCTCAATTAAATCAACAGAACGGGAAGCCATAGGACCCACACCCCTAAATCTAGCTGGGGAATCCGAAGGCAGGCTTTAGGGTGAAGGGGCTTTAAAGGTTGTTATTCCTGGGGAGTTCGAGAGGTGTTCCAGATAAGAAGGGTTGAGAGGTAAATAGAGGAGGGAGCTCGGAATGCCAAGTCACCTAGGCCTGAAATCCCGAAGGAGTATAAACACTTGCTGGAGAGTGACAGGATGAGTGAGCAGCCAAAGACCTGTTCAGAGGGTGGGGGTCAGGGAGGAAGCTCCTGGGTATCGCCCCGACCCTGGCTTTCTTGGCGTGTGTCCTGACAGGTCCATGGAAGCTCACAGCAGCAGCCTGCAGGCAGGCAGGAGGCCTTGGTTCTGGTTCACGGTTGGGCCTCCCAGGGCGAACAGGCAAACACCATTGCAGAGCTGAGTGTTCACAGCGAGACAGTCTGCTGGGCAGATGCCTCTGGAATCTACAGAATTCCAAACAATAGCCATGGTGGAGGGGGGTTGGAGCCATCCTGGGACCTCCAGGAATGTCCAAGCGCCATCCTGAGGAGGGGGCAGCTGAGGAATGCCAAGGCTTGTCATTCTGGACCTTGCTTGTCCCCCAGTATGCCAGGCATTTCTCTGCAGTGATAAAACCACCGAACATCTCAGCAGCCCAGGCAGCCACAGGCAGGGGAGCCCAGAGGTGACACAGGTACTAACTTGCCATCTGTCGTCCACACCGCTGGCTGGGGAAGGTGCAGAGAGCCCTCAGTCTGCCCCCTTCTTCCCTCTGTGCCCGCGGAGAGAAGGAGATGCTGCCACCACGGCTGGGCAAACTCACAGAGTGGTCACTGAGTCCTCCCCAAGAGCTTTTTAGGCAATAGGATAGCTGCCAATCAGAGCCACTTTGCAGATAAGGAAGCCGAGGCTTAGCAGGGTTACCTCGCTCGTCTAGCCAACAAGGGGCCTGGGAGGCCGTCCTTCTGACTCTGAACTTACACCGTACTTTTAGTCATTCCGCCATTCTTCTTTGGGCAACAGAAGGCCAAGCAACAGTCGTACCCCAAAGCATAGAATTATAACCATGGTAAGCCAAGGACTTGACAGGGGGCCGAGAGAGCCAGCAACAGGGACCAGGCAGGTCCAAATAGACTTTTCTGAGGTGGTGCCTGGAGCCAAGAGTCCAGAGTGAGTGAGAATTCATAAGGGAGGCACGGGGGCCCCACATGCACAGAGGGACCCTGCACAGGGAGTGAGAATTCGTAAGGGAGGCACGGGGGGCCCCACATGCACAGAGGGACCCTGCACAGGGAGTGAGAATTCCTAAGGGAGGCACGGGGGGCCCCACATGCACAGAGGGACCCTGCACAGGGAGTGAGAATTCCTAAGGGAGGCACGGGGGTCCCGCATGCACACAGGGACCCTGCACAGGGAGTGAGAATTCCTAAGGGAGGCACAGGGGGGCCCCCGCATGCACAGAGGGACCCTGCACAGTTGGTGCAAGTTATGGTCGGTGCCCACAGGGCCGGGCTGGAAGGGAGACAACAGCCATGAGCGTTTTCAGGTCACATGGCTCTTACGCCACCTCAGTCGGTTTTTACTAGGTTTTCTTGTGACAATATCTTAGATTTATCCAGCTAATCGACTAATTTCAGGCTTCCCTGATGCAAATTTCAAGTCCTGAAACGCCTTCACCTGCAAGCTGTGACTCTCAAATCTTAGCGAAGAGCGCCATCTGGTGGACCGATTCGGCAGCGTTTCGTTTTTTTACAGACGACTCAGCCCATCATGAGCAGTCACAGCTGTCTTTTCAGCTCGTTAGTAATTTACCAAAAGTTGTGTATTTTCAGAGGTTAAAAAAAAAAGCTGGGCACGTGGCTTATTCGCACTTAAGTTGGTTGGGAGAAGAGTTTCCATAGCGGGAAATTTGGGTGTGTGCACGTGGCTTATTTGCACTTAAGTTGGTTGGGAGAAGAGTTTCCATAGCGGGAAATTTGGGTGTGTCTGTCAAAAGCCTTTGACTCAGGAATTCCACTAAGGAAATAAGAATATATGCTGTGTTTTGGCTACACAGTGTTTTTTTTTAATAGCGATGAGGTTTCACCGTGTTGGCCAGGCATGTCTCGAACTCTTGACCTCAGGTGATCCACCTGCCTCAGCCTCCCAAAGTGCTGGCATTACAGGCGTGAGCCTCTGCGCCCGGCCTACACAGCTGTTTACTATAGCTTTATTTATTTATTTATTTTGTTTCTGTTTTTTAAAGACAGGGTTTCCCTGTGTTGGCCAGGCATGTCTCGAACTCCTGACCTCAGGTGATCCACCTGCCTCAGCCTCCCAAAGTGCTGGGATTCCAGGCGTGAGCCTCTGCGCCCGGCCTACACAGCTGTTTACTATAGCCTTATTTATTTATTTATTTTGTTTCTGTTTTTTAAAGACAGAGTTTCCCTGTGTTGGCCAGGCATGTCTCGAACTCCTGACCTCAGGTGATCCACCTGCCTCAGCCTCCCAAAGTGCTGGGATTCCAGGCGTGGGCCACCTCGCCCAGCTACTATAGCTTTAAGAGGTAATAGCCAGTGTCGGGTGAGGTGGCTCATGCCTATAATCCCAGCACCTGGGGAAGCCAAGGTGGGAGGATTGCTTGAGTTCAGGAGTTCAAGACTAGCCTGGGCAACATAGCAAGACCTCGTCTCTCCCTGAAATTGAAAAGATTAGCTGGGCATGGTGATGAGTGTCTGTAGTCCCAGCTACTCAGGACGCTGAGGCAGGAGGGTGGCTTGTGCCCAGGAGCTTGAGCTGCAGTCAGCTGTCATGGTGCCACTGCACTCCAGCCTGAGACAGAGTGAGACCCTGTCTTGAAAAAAGAATAATAGCCAATGTTGGAAATAATCAAAACGGCCAGCAGGGTTGCTTTGGTAAACACCGCACATCCACACGGTGGAACGAAGTGCCTGTCGCCGGCAGCAATCATGATGTGTCTTTTTTTTTGAGATGGAGTCTCCCCCTGTCGCCCAGGCTGGGGTGCAATTACACAATCTCAGCTCACCGCAACCTCCACCTCCCAGGTTCAAGCGATTCTCCTGCATCAGCCTCCTGAGTAGCTGGGATTACAGGTGCCCACCACCGTGCCCAGCTAATTTTTTGTATCTTTAATAGAGACGGTGTTTCACCACGTTGGCCAGGCTGGTCTTGAACTCCTGACCTCATGATCCAGCCACCTCGGCCTCCCAAAGTGCTAGGATTACAGGTGTGAGCCACCGTGCTTGGCCTGCTTTTATTTTTATTTTTTAATTGTACTTTGGGGTCTGGGGTACATGTGCACATCCTGCACCCTACAGGATTGTTGCATGGGTACCTACATGCCATGGTGGTCTGATGTCTCTATCCTCCCCCCACTTTTTTATTTTTTGAGATGGAGTCCCACTCTGTCACTCTGGCTGGAGAGCAGTGGCATGACTTCGGCTCACTGCAACCTGCATCTCTCAGGTTCAAGCGATTCTCCAGCCTCAGCCTCCCAAGTAGCTGGGGCTACAGGTGCCCGCCATCACCTCCAGTTAATTTTTGTATTTTTAGTGGAGACCGGGTTTCGCCCTGTTGGCCAGGCTGGTCTTGAACTCCTGACCTCAGGAGATCTACCCAAAGTGCTGGGATTACAGGTGTGACCCACTGCGCCCAGCCTATTTCTTTACTTTCTGAATAAACTTGCTTTCACTTTGCACGGCAGACTCGCCCTGAATTCTCTTTTGCACCGTGTCCAGGAACCCTCTCTTGGGGTCTGGGTCAGGACCCCTTTTCTCTAACAGAATGGGTTGATCAGGACACAGCTCTGCGGAAAGTGGAGAAGCCCATGCAGGTCCTTCTTAAGGCTGTTTGCAGCATAAATGAGACCAGGCATCGGCAGCCCCTGTCAGAGTGCCAGCGTGGACATGGGCAGGTCACCCTCTTCCGTGAGGTGAACCCATCGTTATTCTGTCTCATTTGGAGGAATGTGGGGGAGCAGCCTGGCTGCAGGGCATGGGGAGGGATGGACAATCCTGTGTTTCTCTGTCTCGCTGCTCAGGGGCTGTGGTTTTCATCTCAGCAAAATGCAGGAGCGAGTGCCTGGGCGGATCCTTGCTCTTCCGTTGTTTTTTTCTTTCTTTTTCTTTTTTTATTTTTGAGTTGGAGTTTTGCTCTTGTTGCTCAGGCTGGAGTGCAGTGGCACAATCGTGCTCACCGCAATCTCCACCTCCTGGGTTCAAGCGATTCTCTTGCCTCAGCCTCCCAAGTAGCTGGGATTATGGGCGCCCGCCACCACACCCAGAT